TCTGAGCGGGTGGCGTTGCGGTGTTTAGGGACCGCGGGTGCTGCTGTAGCCTCCAGGGACTTGGTTTGAGAGAAAGTGGGCCCTGAGAGCAGCAGCCAGGTCTCTCTTGCTCGTTTGGCCCCCGTGGAGATGATGGGTGTGTTAAAACAGCAGTTGGGAGAGGGCAGAGGATGTGGTGACGTATCCAGGAGCTCTGGCCAGCCTTGGGAGTGAACCTGTGGGGCTTGGAAAGCCTCTCGTTGAAGCCCGAATACGGGAGCTAGGGTAAAGACCTGAAATGAAGCCTTTCAGTGGGAGAACAGAAGTACTTGTGTACAATCCAGTTCATTATGTTTTATGCCTTTTATTTACACAAATGTGTAATAAAATGTGCTTTTTACCACCTTCCCCCCACCAAATACATTACTGAGTGGTGGTGTGCAATGTGCCAGATTGTATGAAAATATAAATTAACTTTAATATGAAAAAAAGGGCACATAGGAACTGTTTTGATGCACCTTTTTGTCCCATTAGGCCTGCATCCAACCATTATGTTTTTCTCTAGGCTCCTTTTCATGACTTCCTGTGCAAATAATTGCCCACAGCAGAAGCAGGTGCTCTCTCTTGTCTGTTGAGCACAGCAACTTTGGTACTAGAAAGGAGAGATGAGAGGAATGCAGAGATGCTGCCTTCTCAGCACAGTCAGTCTGGTCCATAGCGTAGCTGTGCTGCAAAATGAGGTGAAGGATGTGCAATATGTGAGAATTTCACTCTTAGAAAGCTCTCTTGTGACAAAGACATTTCCACTCTCAGTGGGAGAACAAAAGTTTTCATGTGATCCATTTCATAAGCTTTTATGGCATAAAATTACTTACATTTTTTTTTCTCAGATATTATTTGTAGTGCATGTATACAAATAAGGATTGGTCAGTGAAATTCTTAATAAAATTTGAAGTTCATTGTGCCTTAATCCTTTATTTCCTCTAGAGAAACTAAGGTCTTCACTCCTGGACATGACCTGGGAACCTGTAAAGATCAGTTGTAAGTGTCCAGAAACACAGTTATACAAAAATGATTGATTTTGGCCCAACTTGTGCTAAAAGTGGTATAACATTGCTTATAAGCACTCTAAGGCTTAATTTAAACTTCTAAATTAAACATTTCTAATATTAGTTAATGTCTCTGTGTTTCTTTATTCTTTCAGTTTTGTTATATTTTGTGCTTATTCTTTCAGTTAGCTGCAGTTTTTGTGCTCTGTGTCCTGCGAATATGTATTTTTATGAGGTTTGTTCTTCTGAACATTGTATTGCAGCATTAGAAACAGGCTTTGCCTTCCAAGATGCCAATGAGAGGTCCACGAAGGCAATGTAAAGTCATAGTTCTCTTTGAGCTGAGAAGCCTTCTGAATCAGAGATGGAATTGGAATTCATATTAGTATGGGAACATTTCCTTGTTTCTGAAAGAGGCCTATGGGCAGGAAGTGGAGTTTGGCTTGGTGTATGTGTTCAGAAGTTTAATAGCTCAGCTATGTAAAAGAGCTGATTGTATACTGACCGTCTGTTTTGCTGTAGCCGAAGATCCTCCTCTTATATAAATGCATGGATCTGATTAGTTCCCTTCAGAGGCATTTTGTCTATGTTAATCATGGAACAGGCTGCCCATGGAGGTTGTGGAGTCTCCTTCTCTGGAGATCTTCCAAACCCACCTGGATGCCACCCTGTGCCACATGCTCTGGATGTCCCTGCTGGAGCAGGGATCTGGAGTTGGACTAGGTGATCTCTAGAGGTCCCTTCCAACCTCAACCATTCTGTGGTTCTGTCATTTAGCCAACAGTCTTATACTATTGTGTGTTTCTTATGGTCATTTTATTAGTAACTCCTTTTTTTACTGTTTATGTTATACAGCAATAACATACAACAGCTTTGAAACAGAAGTTGAGTTGCAGGGTAAGTTTCTGTGTTACTGAGAGGAAATGAGTTGACACTAAATGGTGTGAACCAGTAAATACCCTTCAGTCCTAATCACAAGAGCCAAACGAACATCCCAACTTAAATACATGTGCTGTGCATACAGCATCTTTTTAATGATAGTCATTTCACTATTTAGGCCACATGCTGCTGCAGGGAGAATGCAGTGGAATCTGAACCAATGTTATTCTTTGATTTACATCAGAGTTTAGTTCACATATAAAGGTTTTTGTAGTCGGAATTGTTAGCTTTCGGGGGAATTATCCTCAGACCTTTAATTCTTCATTTTTCCTTTTCTTTTTCAGGCTATTGTTCATATTATTGATCTCTCAGGAAGAAGAAAGATTCATCAGAACCTTCAACTATGAGAGATCTCTACAGGTCATTAGAAATAAGAGGTACCTGGGCCAGGGATTCTTATTAAATATATTCTGCCTTGAAGCAGTTTGGGTATTTCAACTTGAAGGTTGATTCTTTCTTGTGTAGGGTTGCAAATAACAAATTCCAGTACGTTCCATCATGTAATAACATTATAGTTACAGCCTGATTTAGATCATGGCCACAATAATACTATTATAAAAAATTCAGAATGTCTCAGAAAAGGAGTGTGTTCTCCTTAAGGTTAATGCTTATTTTGTCTTTCCACAGAATTGAGGTAGTTATGAAAATTGAAAATATTTAAAGTGGAAATAAACTATGAACTAGAAATGAATCTAGCAATAAAGCTCAGAATTTGATGTTTTTTTTTTCCCAGATCTTTATAAGGATTTTTCTCTCTAGAGCTGTAGAATAAAGCTACAGAAGCCAGGTTGAATTCTGGGGAGATTTCTGCATAGGCAGTTGCCTTCTCTTAAATACCAGGAACTTAAAAATGAATGTGGAGTTGTAATGTTATGTTATGAATCAGATATAGGCTGTCTTTGGTGCATATGGAAAGACAATTTCAAGGTCCATGGGGTCTTTGGAATCTCTTTCCTGCAGAAGAAAAACCTGCATCTCTGTGGCCTAGAAAGGAAGAAGATAATCCTCTACAAGCACAGCTGTGTTTCATTAGCTTTAGTTACATATTAAATAGAAGTAAATTGAATGGTAGCATTTTATGAATTTTAAAGCATGTTTTTATTCAGTACTATTTTACTATATTTTTCATTTTCTGTATATAAAGTATAAGGGCTGATTAATCAGGAAAGTCATTCTTACATGTAAAGCCCACCAATAAGAAATCTTACTTAAGTAAATAGGTCCAAAAAAAAAATACCGTTTATTCCCAGAGCTTGGATATGCAGATGTAAAAACATGTTTTAGCCTGAAGTAGATAAAATATGTGAGAGCATCCTGAGTATGTATATACTAGTTAATATACAATACTGCATTTAATACCATAATTCCCTAAACTGCGGTGCTCTTAGGGGGCACAAGCATATGCTATTCTTGGCTATCTCTGCTTAACACCGTCAGTCAGCCTTGAAAGGAGTTTCAGTAATCCCTGTAACAAACGTGTGTAAGCAGGGAATCTGCTATCTTTTCTCTCCAGCAATAGGGTACTGGAGACAGGAGTCTGAGGAAGGTTGGCTGAGGTGGTGACATGAGTGGGAATGAGCCCCTGTGAGAGCCTACTGCCACTGGCAGGGCAGAAGCTTCACCCCAGGTCTCAGCTGTGCAGCCGTGGGCTCTGGTACCCAGTGGCTGCCCATCTCACTCATCTGGGGAAAACTCCTTGCTGAAACCAGGCCTGAAGGGTTTTCTTCTGGCATAAGGGGATAACAAGTTTGCTGTGCTCCAGAGCTGGTGCACTAAAAGGGACAAGCCTGTGCAGCTGGGAGCACGGTGAGAACAGGCAGAAGCTAACCCTCCTGATGCCTTACCCTCATCTTGCCTTAGGTGTTTGTGGAACTAGAGCCTCACAGTCTGGGTAGTGATTGGGAGCAAGAAAGAGTTGAAGAGGCGTGATTTTTGGGGGTGTTTGAGGAAAATATGGCATTTGAAATCAATTGGCTTTGGAGATCCATGGTGTGCTTGATTCAGAGAAGCTGCAGTGGAGTACTTTTACTGCTTGCTTCTGAACTACATTGGAAAAGAGTCCTGCATTGGAAAAGAGAGGGCTGAGATGCAGGGAGCTTCCCTCCTGGGGTGGGAAGGGAACCTGCCCTGGGGACATACTGCCTGAGAGTTGCTGGGAACAGAACAGGATGCATATGATAGCCAGGAGAAGGCTGTGAGAACACTCAGGGAGCTGAAAGGTGGAGCAGAGCTGACAAGGCTGCTCGAAAGCGAGGTAATGGCTGCTGGGATCCACACTAGCTCCTCTCATCCCCTCACCACTGTGATTTTTCCCCAACTCTGGATTCTAGAGACAAGTGGAGAGGCTGTGACAGGCTCCCACCTGCCAGGGTCCCTCTGCACCTTTTCTCTGCCATGTACCCAGGGGTCCTATTACCATCCCTGGCCCAGGTGCTAGTCTGTCTATGATTCTTTCACACTCAGTGACTAAGACCACTTCAGTCTGTCAAAACACTTCTGTTGAGAGAGTAGTAAGCAAGCTACTGATTATATATGTTATACTGACACATACATCTTACTCTGATGATCCCTCCAGCTGTCAATAGATTTAAGACTTTCGGATTCTAGTTGTCTCAGATTCCGTGTTTTGCATGAACTCCCACTAAGTTTTAGTTTGGGCATTGTCCCTTATCTTCCCTTTCACACTTTCTTGCCTTGCAGATGGTCATATTTTAAATTATTTCCAACAATAATTTGCCCAGCAATTATAAACTTTCTGACAAGAGTTTATTCTAAAAAGAAGAGAATTGCTTAGATGTTTTATAGCTTATCACTCAAGAGACTAAGATTTGTAACAGTTTGATATTCAGGCCTATTGTGGATTGAGACATGGTATTAACTTCCATCCACCTTCTGCTGCTGATTTTGCGCAGCTCAGATTTTCAGTCCTTTGCCTTTTGGTTGCATTTTCCTATTTCACTCCCAGATTCACCTCAACCATGTATCTTCCAGGAAACACTCAATAAGTGTTTGTTCCCAGACTGAGGATTATTGCTGTAAACCGAACCCCTACAACAGTCTCACAAGAAATAGATAATTTATGCAATACAGGTTTGTCTGAAACTGTGATTTTAATTCACCTTTCTATACCTACTGTTTATTTTGCTATATTAGTACAAATGAGATCTCAATCAGCTCCTGGATTCAGTGCTTTGATTTATTTATATGATAAATGTATTGATAAAGTTAGAGGAAAAATTTCAGTAACTTGAAATTTTGAAATTTTAAATTTTCTCTCTCCTACTCCTTACTAAATTAAGCAGTTATTGTTCTAAAATTGTCTAGTTTAGGTAAGTGGTCAGTTATGTAATGAAAGTGTCTGCTTTAAAAATATGCATCCTTTCTTCACATTGTGTGAGAATGCTAGAATATATCCATGAAGTCTAGAAGTGCTAGAAGTGGAATTAAATGTGTTCTGATTTTTCATTGCTTATAAACCTACATAATCAGTATCCTCTCCGTTCCCTATTTTAATTGAAGAATATTTACATGACTTGAATGGAATACTGAAAAAAAAATATTTGAACACATATACAGGATCTATCTTGAAAGCAATATATTTAATATAATTTTAATTTCTTTTATAATGCAACATTTTCATGTAACAGTGTTGTAGGCCTGGCCACACATACACGATAAGAAATAGTAAAGCTCACTCTTGTGGTGAAATAAGGTAAGTGCAGAAACAACAGCTCTTTATTCGTAGTGATTTTTGGTTGCATATAAACATTAGAGGTGACCCTAAATCTGCTGCTTTCTCTAGATGTATCTTTAAAATATTCACATTTTTTTTCTCCACACTGGCAAAGAAAAAAGCATGGCTTCTTCTGGATTATTTTTCATTCTGTGCGCTAAGGAATGTTGCAGTGTTGATGCAATGCAGTATCAGGCTGCTGGACATGTGTTGATGCTTACAGCACCACTAACCAAAGCTGCTTTACTAAAACTCACTGGTTTTTCATCAATCATGAAGTTACGAATGCAGCCAATGAAGGAGTTGCGTGTAGTCAGGCTCGATGTTAGCAGAGACTCTGGAAGAAAGAAATAATGAAAAATAGAGCTGAGAATGCCCCAAATCAGTTCATATGCAGCACCCAAATCAGTTCATATGCAGCACTGGTAATGGAACCTGAGTCTTCTCAATTGCAGTTCAGGATTCTATTCAGCAGCCCATGTCACATTACATCCTACATGTGGTTAGTCCACCAATAAAATTGATATAAGTTTGAATTGTATAAAAAAGTTTAGTCACTTCAGGCAGTGGACTAGTCAGATTTTGGAAGAGACAAAATTTGAGAAAGGTGTTTTTGTGCCACCAACCAGCTTGCATGCATGAAAGGAAAATTGGTGCCTGTATTCTAATACATATATGATAAGAATATTTTTTTCTTCTATATGCTAGTAGGTGCAGCTCTGTTGCATCTTCTTTGAGTCTTTCTAAATATCTAGACTACTGCTGGTGTCCTAGAGGCAATAAGGGTAAGGAGGGGAAGTCATCTACATTTAAGTAAAATTCTTGATAACACACAGTCAATAACTGTTCGATCCTGCATTTTTGGACAATACATTCTCT